TCCCGCTGGTGCCACCGCCAGTACATTCGTTCAATCAAAACAACACTTACCTCAGGCAGCACTACGCTTCACCAGTTTGTCCGCAGTCAGCGATCGCACAAAGTAAAACCTGGCATCCCTGACATTGCAAGCCCTGATGGGCTGCTGGTGTCCGACAGCTTCCAAAAAGCAACCATCCTCAACAAGCAGTTTACCTCTGTCGCGGTGCCTGATGACCCACGTTTAGTAATACCCCCTCTCCAATATGACACTCAACTTACTCGCCAATTCACCCGCGTTCATATCACTACAGCAGATGTTCGTAAAGCCATCTCAAACCTGAAATCTGGGAAAGCGCCAGGGCTAGACGGTATCACGAACAATATGATAAAGAAGCTAGCTCCTGCGATTTCTTTTCCACTTAGCCGCCTATTTAACCTCTCCTTTACCACAGGCAAGTTCCCTTCTGACTGGAAACTGGCTAAAATTGTGCCTATTTACAAGTGCAAAGGCAGCAAATCTCAAGCTAGTAACTATCGCCCAATTTCCCTCCTGTCCTGTATTTCCAAACTTTGCGAACGGCTCTTCTTCAATCAATTGTATAATCATATTTCTCCTGCTCTGGACCCCGCGCAATCTGGGTTTCGTCGTGGTGACTCGACCGCTCTACAGCTCACCAAGCTGATCCAAAACATTGCCGACCATCGTCATATGGGGCGGAAAGTTGCCATGTGCTTTTTCGACCTCGAGAAAGCTTTCGACACTGTGTGGCACCGTGCATTACTTGCTAAACTTTCCAAAGTTTTCGGTGTGTGTGACTCAGCGCTGGAGTGGATTACAGACTACCTATCCGACAGAACGCAAGTTGTCTTTGTAGGTGGAACTCTCTCAGATGCTTCACCTGTTCTGTCCGGAGTGCCCCAGGGATCCATCCTAGGGCCCCTCCTTTTCCTAGTGTATATAAATGATCTTCCCAGTCATGTTGAAGGTGTGTCCTTATTTGCTGACGATACTGCACTTCTCCGGTTCAATGAGTATCTAGACAGGCTGCGAGACAGTCTCCAGCGTGGTATCAACGAAGTCCATCAGTGGATGACTACCTGGAGACTAAGACCTAATATCGCCAAGACTGAGATATTATTCCTGCCGAACTCAGAGCCAACCTATGCATTCACTCTTCCCGGATCCCTCACAGACCTCAAAGTGGTAAAACAACACAAACATCTTGGTTTGGTCATTGACACAGACTTATCGTTTAGTAGACATGTCGACTATATCTGTAGCAAAGTCAGTAAAGCTGTTGGCTACCTCGTGTCTCACTGCTCCCACCTACCGCTTGAATGCATTCGCCTTTTTTATCATTGCTATATTCTCCCCATTTTTCTCTATTGCTCAACCGCCTGGTCATCCCTACTTAGTAAATCGTTAATGAGTACCCTGGACGTCCACAATAAGAGGATACTCAAAGTCCTTTTCCGCAAACCATCATACTTTCCTTCTGCCGAGCTGTATGATATGTTTAACACCTTCCCTATCTCTAGTCAAGCGGATCGAAAACTGTGTATTGTTGTTCATTCTATTCGTCTTGACAAAGCCCCGCCACACTTGCGTAAATATAACTGGTTTCTTCCCACTCGTCCTACGCGCAATCCCTGCACTTTACCTAAAGCCCGAACCTCAGCTTATACCAGATCTCCGTTTTTTGCTGCCTATTCTCTCTGGCTGGCCCTGCCTCTATCAGTAAAATCGTCTTGTACGCTAAAGGATTTCAAGGCCAACATGAAGCTCGTGTTCTAATAACTGCTAGTTCTTCATCCACATTTGTTTCTCTTTGCCTCCAGTAATGTGTAATATTTATTTATTTTTGCTAAGTTTTTGTTTACTGCCATGGCTGGCTACCGCCCCCCTCCCTCCATATTGGCCTATATTCTCTGGCCACGGGAAGGTGAAATAAATAAATAAATAAAATCGGAGCCGCAGTGCAACCCGGCCATAAGGGCCGGGTTCCACTGCGGCTCCGCGGCTCCGCTGCTCCGCGGCACTTGGCTGCATGCACTGCCATGCAGCGGAGCAGCGCGGTTCCACTGTCACTCGCCATTCGCGGTACCGTGGTCGTGGTCCACACTCTTTGATGACGTTTCACCTGCCTGCGCGCGCGAAATCAAACAAATCCTTGTGTTCTGGCCTGCGCAACGAATTAAAATTTGAATTTTAAAATTCTGGCGTACAAAACAATGCAAAGTACGGGAAACAGGTCGAGCCGCGACCGCGGCTCGCAGTTTTTGGTCAAGAATCGTAGCAAAAGCTCTTGGTGAGCCGCGAACTCGCTGCTCCAGCTCGAGCCGCGGTCACTATGGTAATGATGACGTTTCAAGCCGCGAAAGACGAGCAGCGGGGCAGCGGAGCCGCAGTGGAACCCGGCCCTAAGCGAGCATGAATTGTAAAAGAACTGAACGCTTCAGTTATACAGTACAGAACTTTGACCAAGACAATTTACATGGACAAATCTCTAGAGTAACAAGCAGCAGTTTCACACGACGATCGCTAAGGTAAGCTGTGTCTGCTCCAGCGCCGGGTGAGCCGGGTAATCCACCTGGTTGGGCGGCGCTTGGACCCGTTTGGAAATATAGTACCGGGTCACCTGTGACGACCCAGTTGGTACTTTATACTTTCGAACTTTGAAAGGACTGACTACATGGCTTGTTAGGCGCTGCATCTACCGCTAGGGTTTATCGGGTGTTAGCGGCCGTCGTGCGTTCCCTTCAGGAACGGATACAATAATTTACTTTTTTTACACGGCTTGTATGTGTCAGATACTTCTTCTTCTTTCGTAATTTTCTAATTCTTGTCCTCTCTTTTCTACATGTAAATGCGGCTTATCCATTTGCCTTTATATCATTGGGCCTAGTTCCCGTTTATTCTCCGGATTAAAATAAACCAACAAACCAGTTAAAGCATGTGACTCGGCTGGTGAGACAGCGCCAGGTAGGCCTTGACAGATTATGCTAATATTTTCGTAAAATTATGCTTTTCGCATTGCTGAAAAAATTGCAGAATTATGCTATTTTTATGCTAAAAGTTATCATATTATGCCGCATTTTGCTCACATATGCTGCTAATGTATAATAGTTCCGTGCAAAATAACAGGGGAATTTTTTGTAGAGGGCGTTGTACTGTAGTAGCAAAAGTTCAACGGGGTCAACGCACCGTCCGACCTAGCTACGACCCTCACTGATTGTAGTGGACTGGACATGTTCTGGGGGGAGTCGTAAACCTACGACTTCCTGGTGCATCTACTTGTACTTGTACTTGTAGAACATGTACAACTGTATGGAATTTGATGCGAACAGGTGGATTATTCCAATTTTATGCGATTCGTATGCAATTTGCCTCGAATTATGCGATTATTCGATTTTGGTAGGAAGTATGCGAAAAATTATGCCAGCATAATCTGTCAAGGCCTAGCGCCAGGTACATGTGTACCCGGCTCCAACCCGGTTGAAATGGTTGCGCCAGGTACACGTGTACCCGGCTGTCCTACAATCCTAGAGCAGACACTGGTAAGGACGGCCCATCAGGTGTGCTAATAGTTACACTCAGTTGGAGAGCCAAGGCCAAGGGTATATAGGGAGGGCCCAAATATGCTCAACAATTTCGCATATTATGCTTTTCGCATATTGGCCACTTGCTTCAAAATATGCTTCGAAATCACACAAAAGCAGAAAAATATGCTCAAAATATGCTCGAAATATGCTCGAAATATGAACTGATATCAGTGATAATTATGCGAATTCTTTGCTCCTCGTAGCAAAATACGCTACATATGGTACAATATGCTAGATTTGCTACTTTATGCGACCTTGAATCGCGGACACGCTCTTCTGGGGTCAAATTTTCGCCCGTGTTTGGATGAGCATTTTTCCTTCGGGCTAAGTTTGGAAGTGTTCACTGACCGAGCGTGCCGTGGTAAGTTTCCTTGTCCATTTCCGCAAAAAAATTCACGGTTCGCGTCAGACTCGGTTTCTCTATATAGAGGCCGAGTTTTCCGCATCCGTAAGAACATCACCACCCTTCAAGGATCAAGGCGCAGATGCAGCTCCTAAAGCGGTGGGAGGTGAGTAGATCAGCTCACCAGCATGTGGTCAAAGACCGAAAATCCCATTCACTGCATCCATGTTTTCCTCGTGCCAGGCTACGAGTTCCCAATTAACTTGGGCACCCGCAATCTGACCTATAATTATGCGAATTCGTTGCTCCTTGAAGCAAAATATGCTACATTTGGTACAATATGCTAGATTTGCTACTTTATGCGACCTTGTGTCAAAAGGACCAAAATATGCGAAAATATGCGCAAGCATGGCCCAAGGATTACTTGATAGGAAGAAAAGTGGATCGAGGAGCTACAAGTTACGCTAGAATGTCCCCTACCACCAACAGTTACTTTACAATCAGCTCATGCGATAACATTGCACGACACTGACCAACAGTACAGACGTTCTACAGCTACCTGGCAATCAGCTGTAGCATGTCGTGGCGGCGCACTCCACTATTCTACCAGCTTGGATGGTTCTAAGTTACAGAAATAACATAGGTATGCTCGGGTGTGTACTTGAAGTATGATGAATGCTTTACTGATATAGCTTGAAAGGACGGGAAGAATTGCAAATTTAAAAGGATCAGTAGGGGAAGGGAACTGCCTCAAAAAGAGAACAAATGCCAACCCTTCCAGGACTCGAACTTGGGACCGTGCCTGTCACGAGCAATGCTCTAGCCATCTGAGCTATTGTCATATGATTCAGGTGGTTGTCAATGTGAGCTGCCTTTGGAGTGAAACAACCTGACAACGCCTGCGAGGTTCGGTCTCGTCCTGCAACTCCGATGGTTAGAGCATTGCTTATGACAAGCAAGGTCCTGGGTTCGAGTCCTGGTGCGGTTGGCATTTGCTTCTCTTTTCAGGCAGTGCACTACCTCGATTGATCTTTTGACAAAGCTAGGCCGCACATACACTGTACATAGCTTACCCCAGATCTCTGCAGATAACATTGGCTTCAGTGAGGGTCCAGCCTGTCAAACCACAAACTCTAACCCATTGTCCCTTCGTTCGTACTTCCACGCGGCCTTTCCATTTAAAACCATTTGGATCTCCAGCAAGTTGTACAACAGAAGGATCTTTAAGTTTGTTATCACAGGCACAGAGACAATTTGAGAAAACAGGACTAAAACGATGGTAGGTTCGAAGAACGCCCTCAGCAATGGCATCCAAAGCTGCTGAAATATCTAACCCAAGCGCAGCCCTAAATAAATGGGCTATATACATGTAAGTCGATGATGGTCACATACTTTCCTTGCGCATGAAGTCCACGTTAAATATTGTTTGAGTGTCTTCACACTATCAAAGCTAAAAAGAGTATAGAGACCGCAGATATCACCACGCTGCATAATACTTGTTCAAGCAGTAAATATGTATTTTTCCAGAATCGAATTTCGTGGTCCGATCATCAGTGGAAAAATACTGAACTAATAATCAACCAATGAAACTAAAGTTAAGTAATACATCTAGAATGTGCTAGAAATGCCACATAAAATCATTGTACTTCAGAAATACAACTGCAATAAAACTCAAAAAGGTACCAAATTACATATCCAAAGTTGAGAAGGAACTGAACGAAGTGCCAACCTACGAATATATCCTGAGTGCAACAACGTGATCTTTCTGCTTACACAAACCTGGCTTATGAATATGTATACAAACTGCCTCAAGAACGTTCAAATGCTGGAAATAACGGGCACTACACAGTACGGAAAAATGAGAGTCATCATACACAATAAGACAGTCAGGACTTCCTTCACTTCTATTTGATTGGTATCTTTCGTTCCGTATTTTTCTACTGATGAGAGGAACGAGGAAATCGATTCTGGCAAAATACATATTTACAGCTTGAACAAGTGCTACAGTGAATGTAGCGTGGTGATGTCTACGGCCTTTATACTCTTTATAGTTTGATAACATTACTATCTCCTCAGCATGGAAACTAGAGAATGGCTGTGACGTGCCAACGATGAGGTGCTGTGCTGTGTGGTAAGTGAGTGGAGGGAATGAATGCCCCAGGGCCCTCTCGCGTTGCTACTTGCTATGCTGTGCCATCTATCGAAGTCACACCTGGCTATCGCTACATGTACTCTCACTTACACGCTTTACAATATTCTCGGTGTAGTCAATAACAGTCTCTCTTTTGCTTAGCCACAAATCTCAAGGTACTCAGATGACGAGCCAAAGAAAATATTATATTGAAACAAGAAAAACGGTGGAGCACAAGTTATGCCTTGCCGTGGAATGTCTCAGTACTCCTTGTCAGTCTGGTGCTACCTTGTGCACGTCTGACTGCTCAACACCTGGTTTAGTTGGTGGACTCTAACGCATAACTTGTGCCCCACAGTTTACCTTGTTTCAACTTAAAATCTCAAGGTCTTCGCCAACGGCATTATCAAGTAGGACTTCGAAATCCGTGAACCAGTTTTTGGGCATTCTCTTCAAACGTAAGGATAACTAGCTTGTAACCATTACAATTACATAAGAAGTAGGTGATAAATTTTGTGACACATTATGCACAAAGGGAGACAAGAAAAAACGCTGGCTGTGCTGGTGTGTATTCTGATAGTGGTTGGCTACCACCCGACTTCTCATATATATTGGCAGTCTTCTGACGAGCCAGGAGATGTTGAATTAATAATAATAATAATAGTCACTTCTCTGTTTTCTCACGCGCTCGTGTTCATGGTCTCGCACATCTGAAAGTGTAAGAAACTATTTTTTTATTTACACTACAAAGCCAGCCATCTTGGTTTGGTCAAGATTTGCGAAAAAGTGATTTTGGAGCAAACGTATCCCGAACTACCTTAATGTAGTGTCTCATGGGCGTTTGTTTTTACGCAAGGTGTGTGTTAGTCCCTCTTGTTCACTTCCCACCTCCTCTATCTCTCTTTTCATCTTTTTCCGATCTCCTCTTGTGCATAGTATTTCGTTAAATTATCAACTTAAAGTCATAGGGGTTACCACCTTAGTGATGCTATTCATCCTTACGGTTCGTTGGTTCTGGTGCCTTGCATTTCATTTGAAGAGAATGCCAGAAAATTGAATCGTGGATTTCGGAAAACTAATTGATGACGATGGTTGTGAAGAGCTTGAGATTGGTACTTTTTTGCCCTGTCTTCAATAAAGACTTCAAAAAACCTGGATTTAGAGAGATTCTAGATCTTATCTTACCGCACTGTATAGTGGAGAGATAGGAGCCGCTCCAAGTGCTGTTAACGTCCCTTACACATCGATTTGTTGAGGTTAAATTCTCACACTGTCCATTGAGGTTGTATACCGGGGTAGGACTTGCTGTACTTTCGAACGTGATGTTCAATGCCCTAAAGAACCTGAGAAAGAGAGGTAGAAAGGAAAAGGACACATGGATACGAGTTAAGATTAACTATTCACCACTGTAACTAGATAATATACAGTCAGAAAGTGCAACAACTAGGCACAAAACGGACAGAGTATTGGAACATTCGACGTCTTTACACCTAGCTTCAAAATATTTTCGTAGCGCTAACCAACAGCCTTCCAACTCGGAAGGTAAGATGTTAAAGAGAGACCAAAGAGGGGAAGGTAAGCGCAACAAAAACGAGCACAAGCTGCAGTCCCATGAACAAAGAATGTCGATTGTTACTGGGCGATGAAGCTTACCCCTTCTTTACTTATCTTTGATATTTCTGAGCCACCAAAGTTGGATGGTGTGCTGCTTTACTGCTTCGAATTGTAGTTAGACCACTTGGTCGAGTATCTTACTGGACTCGTTATCATCCAGTAACACTCGACATTCCTTGTTCCGGTGGGACTGTAGCTTGTGCTCGTTTTCGTTGCACTTACCTTCCCCTATTTGGTCTTTCCTTAACCTTGAACCTGTGGAGTTGGAAGGCTTTTGGTTCGCGCCACGGAGACGTGTTGAAGCTATGTGTCAGGATGTCGAATATCTCAGTACTTTGTCAGTTTTGTGTCTAGTATTTGCACTTTCTGACTGTATAATTATAGTATCTAGTTCCAGTGTTGGATAGTTAATCTTAAATCCTACCCATTGAAAGAGATACATGCTCTGCTTGGAAGTGGAAACACTTCAAATTTGTTGTAACCCAGAGCCATTAAATTTTGGCAAATGGCGATTTAAATGCAGAATCAGCCACACCTCTGTGTGTGAAGGCATGGAAATGAAGCAATTTTCACCGCCGGGTGAGTCCTTACCCTAACTGATGACAAGCGAGTTGGGCTTCACTGATCATTTTGCTGCTGCTTGCTATGTTTCCCCACGTGCCATTGTGAAAAGCCTGCACTCTCCCGGTGCTGTTTAGCTGTCCTGCGCTTTTCTGGACGATTCGGACAAATGGTTCTAATAGTAAACATAGAATAGAATCCAGAATTGACTACTTCGACCTGTCCGAACTCATCAGTGAACACAATCAGGAAATTGGACATCGTTTAACGCAGCAAAGTGCTCTTCGCACTGCGACGTGAGATGCACTTTCGCACAGTAGCAGTGACAGTGCATGGGGTCAGTGCGCAGAGGCCAGCATATCTTTCAAGGATGGGTGGGCGTTTGCAGTGGACTTTACGGTACTAAAATTACAAGTATATGTCGTATTTGAAGAGAACCTACTGTGTGGAGAATACGATAAATAGATTATAGCCCTCGTACATGTAGTTGGTCTACACAGGATATATAGATTTCGTTAAAGACCTCGGGGGACCTCGGTGTTTTACTCGGCCAATATATCCTGCATAGGCCTCGTAACCCGTCTATATTCTATTCATAGTGACATCTTCCTTAGTCAATAAGAGGTACGTTCTGAATTAAATACCAACCTCGTTATAACTCGTTCGTTTACTACATACACAACCTTAGGAAAATCTTAAATCCATTTGGCGCAACGTGGTCTATACAACTGCATACGGGTAAGGTTACACAGAGGGTGTGCGCCTTAACCTGCAATAGTGCTCAAATGCCTGGAATGGGCAGAGCGTAGTACGCAAGAGGTACACAAAAGGAAGTATATAGGGCTGTTTTTTTGTTGTAACTCAGAGTTTCATGGCAAAAACCATCAGACAACAATGATTGGTTTTTGCCATGAAACTCTGAGTTACAACAAAAAACAGCCCTATATACTTCCTTTTGTGTACCTCTTGCGTACGGGTAAGGTTACAACATAATTCGATATTGCATAAACTCGTTACCGCTACATGTATAAGGACCCTTTCTGGTATCCCTGGCATGCACCAGCCTCCGTTAGGCTTTCCCAAATTCGGCCCATTTTTCACCTATTCGGCTTTTCGCTCGGCTCTAAAATCATACTCGGGTGCAAAATCAGTTGATTGTTCAAAAGTTGGCTGCAAAATTGGAATATATTGGAAAATCGGCTACATGAATTGTTGGCATACATGTATTGGATTCAAAATTGGTGAGATATTGGAAGATTTGGTAGATATTCAGCGATTCTCAAATGAACCCTCCAAAATCGGCGAAAGGCTTAGCGATTTTTTGATATTCACTGGTTTGAGGGATAGACACAAACGGGAAAAGTCTGAGGACAAAATTAATTTGTCACCACCAGGACTCGAACCAAGGACCCTCGCTTGTAGCCAGCGACGCTCTAACCCCTGACCGACGGTGTATTCGTCATCTCAGCAGAGACCGTTCACCATTGATAAGTCTCGTTTTCGGCGAATTTTTCGGCCGGCCGGTTTGGGGATTTTACTACTTCGCAGTAGTAACGATCTTCCTAATGGCTAATGTTTGTTTGAGAGGAGGTCAAATGACACGAGTCACGCGACCTCAACGTACTAGTACTACAAGCACTGAAGGAGAGAGCTCCAGCGGTCGTGCTGGCAGCAACGCACATTGCAACACTATTTTGGTAGATTATAGGCGATTTTCAAAAGAACCCTCCAAAAGCGGCGAAAAGCTTAGCGGTTTTTAAATATGTCTCGCGTTTGGCGAATTTTTCGGCTAGCCGATTTGGGGAAAGCGCACCCTCTGCAGCAGATAATACTTTTTGTCCATGCACGGCCAAGGTCAAAGACATAATGGTAAAGCCGAACGATACAACGTATTCTATCTGTATTAATAGAATAATAATATGTACGATCATTTGTATATAAGGAACTATCGTGTTGGAGATTTTCAATGATATAATAACGAGGAGTTGAAGTGGCTTGTGACTTTTGTGAGCAGCGCTGGCTAATACTCCATCACTAGCCCTTTCCCAAAGATGCCAAAATATTTCGCAACTTATGCTTTTCGCAAACATGCCAAAACAAGTGAAAGTTGCTGAAATCGCATCCATATTTTCAAAAAAAAAGCACAATAGTTGCTAATATCGCAACTCAAAATGAGCGAGTTCTTGTGCATAATGATGCCAAAATTAAAAAAAATTTCACGGTTCGCGTGAGACTCGGCTGGAAGCCGGGTTTTCCGCATCCGTAGGAACGCCACCACCCTTCAAGGATCAACGCGCAGATGCAGCTCCTAAAGCGGTGGGAGGTGAGTAGATCAGCTCACCAGCAAGTGGTCAAAGACCGAAAATCCCATTCACTGCATCCATGTTTTCCTCGTGCCAGGCCACGAGTTCCCAATTAACTGTGGGTCGCAGCACGGCTAGAAAAAATCCTTCCGCTTCCAAGCAGGACTTGAACCTGGCACCCTCTGTTTCTCAATCATGGTCTTAGACCATCCCACTATGCCTGCCTATGATGCCAAAAACAACCAATAAAGGAGCGGAAATGGAAAACACAACTGCCTGAGTAAAGTCAATCGTACTTTGAAGTACATATGAATGCATCATGTTCACAGCGTGAAACATGTTTAGGGAAATGAACAGACTTGGAACGGGTCCTTGTCCTTTTTTTGTTGAATTTTGCACAGCATTCATGACGTAGCGGCATGCTCAGTGCTGCCAGATGAGAAGCACATGTAATGTCATGTAATGATGATTTTATGTAATTCTTCAGCGCTTCTTGTTGAAGCGGAGCATTACGGACATTTCAATGGTCTCCTCCAAGGCGCTTCTGTGCAAACAGTTGCGGAAAAGATGCGAAGTACATGTAGTTTGTGAAATGAAGGAAGTTGCGAAAGTTGCGATTTCTTCCAAAGCCACAACAAGTTGCGAAGAAAGTGGCGAGCATCTTTGAGAAAGGGCTTCAACGTTTCGGTCATAAAATGACCATCACTAGGAATGAGGTGGGCATCCTGGTTAGGATGGGCTTATACGTTCTAAATGAGGAGCCTTACCAGGAGATAACAATTCCCACAAGCATGTACTATGACGAGACAGAAAGGAGCTAAAACGAGTTGAAGTGCCAGTATTTTATGTGGTATTGACTTTTGAGGGTACTCCATACTGGTATCAGGACGAATCAGTACCTCTTGCATTTTTAATTGAAAGATAAATATCGTTATCATAAATATTTTGATGGCCCAGACATTATGTACTAAAGCGGGAGGTCCTGTACATGTGTAAGACTTAGTACATACTTCGAAGTATAATTATTATGTACATGCAAAAGTAACGGTTATTCTACTCACCACACTCCACTCCTGGGCTTGAGGACGAAGAAAGTATACAGTAGCCGTATTCGTCGATAGTATAAGAACACTGCGTCAGGGTTGCTTCAGTTCCGTTGCATGCTACATCAAATCTAACCCTGCTATACCGGAAGTCGAAACTGTCATAACTGTCCAGAGCCTTAATAGCTCTTGGAAAACTGGTCACAAGGAAACATCAAATAAAAATATCATGTCACAGTTACTATGCAGACGATTGTACAAATACATGCACTGGTATTCCCGCAGTCCGATCACAAGCCGCTACGCAAATGAAGGCCCTTTCACAGCTGCACTCTGGCTCAATTCCGCGCGCTGCACTTACCCTAATTGACGGCACACCACATTTGCCTCTTTAATTGACCATGCCTTGGGATAGTAACTTCGGCACATTTCAGCCCACTGTCCATTGTAAAATATTTGCACTATTCCAGTGTGTGCTTGGCCATAGGGTTGATATGCAAGGCGAACTGATCCGCAGAAGCACAAATAAAAGGAAAGGAAAAAGTACCGCCGAATGAAAATCAAGTCAGTCAGTGAAAGGGAGGAATCGAGCAGAGAATGGTCACGCCTATTCAAGCACTAACGCATTGTTGCTAGCTTCAACATACATGTACATAATACCCAATGCTGTAGACACACATGTGCATGTATATAGTGATAAGGCCATTGCTCTGACCACTGGCGACTGATGCGAACGTTAAAGCGAATAGCCTCTTTACACAATAAGCGAGAGGGGCAAAGTTCTAAGTTATAATAACAAAACCTTCCCCTCATTGGTTATCATAATTATTATTGTGATAACCAATGAGGGGAAGGTTTTGTTATCATATAACTTAGAACTTTCCAAGTTGGAACTCTGTTTGAGTGCGCATCCTAGATGTGCTAGAGCTGTTAGCCAGTTACTTGTAGAATGTCAGTACCGTCGGTCAGTGTCGTGCAATGTTATCGCATGAGCTGATTGTTTAGTAACTGGTGGTGTTAGTGGACATTAGAGCACAACCTGTGGTTCCTTGGTCCTTTTTCTTTTCCATAAATTCCTTCAACTAATATTACTTTCACGAATAGGAGAAATCACGGGGACGCGGGTGGACGCCGGTATGACGTCATAGTGAACAGTACTAACCTGTCCCATTTGCGACCTGTCCAGAACAATCAGCCACGGAACACAACCAAGGGGAAAGCACTACGACAGTGCAAACCAGGATAGCATTCCGTACAGCCATGTCCAGTGTCACACGTTGCACAACCAGAGTCGCGGTGACAATGACACGTCTATTGAAACAAAGGAAGAGAAACGTATTACTGTGGTCAATAAAATGTTCATGCCTCTAATTGGGGAATTCATACGTGGATGTAAACGCATATGGACCTCATAAAAAACCTCTTATTTTGCTCCATTCTCACATTTGAATTTTCTGTGCCAGTTGGATGTTTGGATGTTTGTTGCCAGCGGATTATAATTATCGCAAACAGTTGAGCCAGCATGATCGAGATGGGGTTATTTCACGCTGATACAGTAGCTGGTAATGAGCCATTCTCTCGCTGACTCGGAGTGGTGACTCCCCTCAGGGCCGGCTTACGGTGCTGCGGCTTTTTTTATTACTAGTACATACATTTCTACACATACATGTACATGTACCGTAAAGTACCGTTGATCCGCCCCACTCTAATTCCCCGCCCCCCCCTCGTTTTTCTGTCTCTGAAGCGACTTCAGAATTATACGGTAGAGAAATTATGCGTCTTTCTGTACTCATGTCCATATGCATACAGCCAACCTCGTACTACTTTCTACTGCGCAAACAAACATTCGTGTGAGAGTCTGTGTGAATGTGTACGTCGAGTTTGACCTTTCTCACCTGTTTGCGTCTGAAAGATACAACACCGCATTGTCGTACAACGACACTGCACCAAGCAGCCTTGATCGAATTCCCGCCCCCCCCCCCCCATGAAAAACAAGCTGGGAAGCGACTTGGCGTGGGGGGGGGGGCGGATCAACGGTACTTTACGGTACATATAGTAGTAGAGTTTTAGTAAGTGAACGTTACCTTAGTCAACTCTCCGGTATGCTCTGCTACATGCGCGATGCTTTCCAATTGAATCAAGGAGGCAGGATGTTTCGCGTGACACGGATGAAAGAGATTTGCAACCCACTCAGTCGTTGAGGCAAGGCTTCAATCAATAAAAATGGTGATGTTGTTCCCTACAACGTTCGTTGTGTTCTGGGTGTTCATTGAGTGTCGTATCAAGCAGCCCTTTTTTTGTAGTGCATTTCGATATTACATGAGTCGTAGTAGCGGGCACGCAGCGATTCAGTGTGTGTTTACTGTATACGAAATATGTTTTGTCCACGAGGCACGGTATCTACCAATACACGCTTTTTTATACAGGACCTGGGAATGTGAGATCAGTGGTAGCGAGTAGAACATGCTTATGTTGTAGTGTATGTGGTATCATTGCGCCCGTTGTGATGCCATGCTGATATCTGGCACGGTGATATGACAATCGTAGTCGATTTCTAGGGAATTGTCGACATGGCAGATTGGGTCAGGGCAACAATCAAATTCGGCGAAGCTTTCCGTGTTCTAGCTGGTTTTTTTATGGCTGCAGTGTTGTTCATAGCCCGTGACTGTTCAGTACCAAGCCTGGCATTCCTATCAGGTGCTCTGGCTCACTAAGTCTTGCACGCATCTGTCATCATCAACTGTCAACACCGCTGTGACCAGATGGCAAAACTTCATATCCACAGACGATCTAGACATGCGCTAGGTTCCACCTCATGTCAAGTGCGTGCGAGCAGTGCACGTTTTCGACTGTGCATACAGCCAGGGCTGCTTGTCATGCTAGTGCTGCGCCATACACTGTGCTAGTGCGAATAATGTGACGCGCAACACTGTGCAGAGAGATATTGTACAAATCAACTGTACAATCTACGGGTACATGTGGAGACAAACAATGTCAGATCCTTGCTGCAAATTCTCAATACCCTAACAAGGCCAGAGCATACTACACAAAGCAGAACAACAGAGACCAAACCCGGAGTCGCGAGGATGGTTTTGGTCTCTGTTGTTCTGCCTTGTGTACAGAGGGAGATGTAGATACATGTAAGTAGTATTAATTAACAAGTCCGCAGGTACACTGGACATGCAAGTGTAGCAAGGAGAGCAGATTGCAGCTGGATGAAATGTGCACCTTGACATTGGTCACTGTCATTGTGATTTCATGGTAACTGTCAAACCAAGGAGATTCACGCGAAGGTTCATTTCCTTGGAATGTCACGACATAGGAGTGGTCGCGAAAAGCGTATGAGCATGAAAAAGGTACATGTAGGTGTGGACGGTCAATGAAACATCTGCTGAATTTGACCCTTTCTGCTATCATTTAAATGCACATTTCGTTTCCGTGGAAACGCCTAATCTCGCGCCATTAGCAAAAATAAAACTTGTACAATGTCACCTGGTTCTTTTCTGCTGCTATTATTGAAATTTTGTCGAATTCGTTATCCCAAAGAAGCTAAGGCGAGAGAAAGTGTGCCGCCTCTCTTCGTGAGAGTTTTGCGCCTTTCCTTCCGACTTATTGCCACTTGATGGCTTGATACAGTACCACGACAAGTCCATCGAATTTTCCACTTTGCGCTGTCCACTACGTGCACAGAGTTCCGGGGAATTTACACTTTATCACTGGGTATCAAATACAATTAATTAACGCTATAGAAATACCTCTACTTCTACTGTTGTGGACATGGAAATCTGGTCGCACGTCTAGCGGCCCCAGGGTGCTGGCCATGCAGCCGTGGATAAGCGGTACAACACTCGTAGATCTACACACATGCATTTTATGCGCTGCAGCGCGCTAGTCGCATCGGATCAATACAACATGTGCCCTGCACGCAGCGTTCTGTACGCGCTGAGGGCGCCGGCCCCAGTCAATCGACTGGATTTCCATGTCCGCCAGTAGAGGAGACGGCTCGATACCGGAACGTTTTGACAGCCAAATTTGTATAGACCCAAAACGATCATCAACGTTGATTTTTCACTCGAAATATGTTTGTGGAAGGAAACTGGCATGTTGAAGTTTGCTCTGGGGCCAGAGTCAATCGAACTGAGCCACTCCTTTGTGTTGACCCATTGCCTCCAAGTTGCCCAATTTTTCGCTTCAAAAAAGTTCAAATCAGAGGTGGCTCCAAACCGGACACGTTTTAGAGTGCCCGTCAAATTCGCTCTGGGTCTGAAATTAGGTAATTGCTATCGCTCCACGACGGCCAGTACAGAGTAACAATAAGCCTTGTGTGTGCTTCCATTAGTTTTGATTGGTATGCGGTGCTTTATTGTCGAGAGGCGAGCCGCTGTTTACCTGCGACAAGAAGTTGATTTTTCGAAAGTCGTAAAACTCAAGTCGCAGTGCGAAGCAACACGTCAAAAACTCACCTGCTTGATATGGCGCTTCTGGTCATCGCAGAGCCATGAAATTTTGGCTCGGAGTATAACACATCGTAGTCTCACTGTGACATATGTTTTCTAATCAAAATACCAAGAGAGAAAGTGAATATTGAGTCCGTTCCGGTTTGCAACCTATTTCCTATTTGAAACCGTCGCCTCTACATGTATGTGTAACAGGTGCAGTACTTATAGCGCTCCATTACTGCGGCACCAGCCACAAACTTACAGCGAACTTCACAGTGCACAAAGGTCTCGCGACCGCCAGACATAAGCGTGTCTGAGGGTAGAGAGTAGAGAGGTTTTGCAGAGCGAACGTTCGCGCGAATTTTCGTTTGACGTCACGAAAAGCGAAACTTCGTGCGAACGTTCGCAGTTTTGAACGCGAAAGTTGCAGGAAACGCGAAACAAACTTTCGCAGTAATTTTCGCTCTTTGTGGACCGGACCGCTGGTCAGCTCAGCCTGGTGCACGGTGAGCGACCCTCAATCTTCATGTTTGTGCTGGATCTCTACTCTTGGCTTGGTCCGCGAGTGCTAGCTTTCCGATTGTTTTGGCAGCCTGTGTTGTTTCATCTCCAGAACCATCTCCGATCTCCTGCTTGCTCGTCTTCTCACTGCTCAGAATCGGTTACATCAATGATGTCTTTTTGAATCTCAGGTGTTGATGCGCAAGATTACGGCACAAGCCAACCCGGCCCGTTTGTCTGTGGGTCTTCGGCCATGGACAACGTAGTCAAAGAGCTCTCGTCTCAGGCCGTGACTCAGGGTACCTGGTGCGCGTGCCGCCACTCGCAACAAACAAAATTAATAATCGGATGGAGAACACTTCTCAAAAACAAGCGAGTGCACACGAAATTTTCTTGGAGCGAGAAACATGCAAACGTTCGCAGTAATGTTCGCTCTTTGTGGACTGTTCGTGCGCGGTGAGCCACCCTCAATCCTCATGTTTGTGCTTGATCTCTACTCTTGGCTTGGTCCGCGGGTGCTAGCTTTCCTATACTTGTGGCAGCCCGTGTTGCTTCATCTCCGGAACCATCCCCGATCTCCTGCCTGCTCGTCTTCTCACTGCTCAGAGCCGGTTACATCAACGATGTCTTTTTGAATTTCAGGTGTTGATGCGCCAGATTACGGCACAAGCCAACCCGTTTGTCTGTGAGTCTCCGGCCATGGACAAGGTAGTCAAAGAGCTCTCGTCTCAGGCCATGACTCAGGGTGCCGTCACTCGCAACAACAAAATAATCGGATGACGACCACTTCTCAAACAAGCGAGTGCACGCGAAAATTCCTGGGAGCGAAAAACATGCAAAACACAAATTTCGCGCGAACGTTCGCAATAGTTTTCGCAACCTGGAACGCGAAAATCATTGCGAACGTTCGCTCTGCAAAACCTCTCTAGTGGTTCATGTATGATACCCAGTTATTGATAGGCTACTGATGTGCACCATGAAACATTCATTGGGCGCATTCGTTTACGCATTCTGGATCCAGGTTTTACATGTATAATTCTGGAAAGAACAGAATGAACGGATTGCGGCAAATGAATGAACAACTACTTCGACGTACATGTAAAAATCGTAAAAGGGGGATCATGTGGGTTCCGGTACACCCTCGCGCACATGTGGACCTAGCATGGCGAGAACGTCGAGTGCGCAATTCGAGTTCGAGAATTTTAGAAATTCTGCCCACTCTTCAGAATTGACGGGGGATTCCGTCGATTCTGATGTCGGAATTTTTGTCAACGAACGGTACATTCGGGTACCCCTACTTACTTCTGGAATTGACCGAAATGCATGTAATCGAACGCGCCCATTATCTGAGTCAGCCTTCCAAGTCATACGGCTCAAGTGAGGGGAGAAGCACAAACACACACACACGCACACACACACCTGCATGTACATTGTACATACACAAGCTTGGTATACTACTAGCGCTGATACTGTTATCACTATTTTGTCCAACATGGAGCCGTTTGTAAAGCTAGGCTCCTAAAACCTCCAAGCCCGCTTTCAATGCTGGACAGCGACCTGGCTAAAACAATGCCGACTCATTGCCGAGGCTCTCTCAGGCGCAAAGCATCGCAGTCATTCTCGATCCGTTATTCTGGTAACCAGAATTCCGACACGTTACTTTATCATTGCATCATTATAATGGCTCATGCTGAACACATCTGCAAGCATCTCAGTCAGTTGATTGTATTGTGCTACTGTCTGCCCTGCATGCATAATTACATGTATATTGACGTACCCTTGCCCTTGATTCAAGTCCATTTGCAAGTATGTAACTGAAAGCATGACGAAATAATTGGAGTTTCCTGTTTTCACCGTGATAATAAGGGATACACACACACATACACACACACACACGCACGCACACACACACATACACACACACACACACACACACAGGGACACACACTCACACAAGCTCACACAAACGCACACACATCTGGGAATTTGAGCTCAATGCGCTACTTTGCTCACTGTGTACTGTTAAACATGTAATTTTCGGTGTAACTTTAATTTCGGTGATTTATGTAGAGAAATCAGGCACCTAAATTTAAATGACACCTAAAAGGCACTAGAGTATGCACTGGATGTGAAGGGAACGCAGGTCACCTAATTCTACGTTACACCTGAAACCTGGCCGGTCCCTGACACCGAAATTTTAATGCACCTAAAATTATATGTTTTACAGTATACATGTATAGCGGTAGATCGTTACAATGAGTCCTACTTCAAGTACAGTAAAACCTGTCAAGGCGACCACTCGGATAAGGCGACCACCTGTCCTAGAAGACCACTGCAACCAGGACTAAGGGATACTATTTCCAGTCAAATGGCCCTGGATAAGGCGACCACCTGATGACAGAGACCACATATTGAAGGTCCCTTGAGCGGTCGTCTTAGACAGGTTCCACTGTACATGTTCATGTAGTACTGCATGCAGTTGTCAAGCAGTGGTATGTATGAGCAGTGGTCTACAATCACAGTTGGCGTAAGCATAACACAGTGGCACATGTACATGTATTATCCGGCTACCAGTCATTCCGCAGTGAATCGGCACTTCCGTATTGTCCAACGGCGAACTGGCAGCTCATACACCTGACATGCATATTTCCACTCCTACTTCAAGCAACGTTTAATGTCACACGTGGATAGGGCTTATCATGAACGTTGCCTTTTGTAACGTACTACCATCATTGCTTACTATTGCTACTTTTAAGTACTGTCAGACTATACTACGGAAGTCATCATGTGCCTGCATTTCCACTTAGCAACAGTGTACTACTACACTGGGCAATATTGTGCATGTGACCCTGCACTAGCCGTTCAGGCAAATATTCCTATGGGCAGCAACTGGCGCTGGGTAAAGACCGGCGAAACCATTGTCAGTAAACCGGCACTGCGGCATCCGACACGTGCACGCTACAGCCATAATGTGCTGGGTCACAGGCTCACAGCTCCAGGTGCACATGAACAACGTGTTCGTAATATAGGCATTGCTTAATGGGTATCGAGACATGCGTAATGTACACCCGAACGAACCGCGAAAAAGAGTGAAAACGCGGTGAAAATGCCGAAATAACGTTACACGTATTGTGGATACAAGGGAGAGGAGAAAATTCGACCTCGTGGACAACGCAGTACCACGTTCACTGCCCACACGGACAAAGGCGTGAACTACGCTCAATCTCTTACTGAACATTATTCTTTTCTTTTTTGAGCAACAAGTGACGTGATTGAATGGCAAATAATAATGAAAAAGAAAAGAAAAAGCCCAACTCTGCCCAGCCAGTTATGTGGACTTACGGAGGTCGCCATGGCAAATACTAACAATTGTAATTCCACACGAGTCACAGAGTACCACGCGTCTGGATTGTTGTAACTAAAAGTTTGCCATCTGCCATGAAACTTTTAGTTACAACAATCCAGACGCGTGGTACTCTGTGAAGTTGTCTGACGATTGCCACCTGGCATGAAACTTTTCGTTACAAGAATCCAGACGCGCGGTACTCTGTGACTAGTGTGCAATTGTAATTCGAAATGTCCAACTACATGTATGATGTAGTTAGTGGTGAACACCAAGCAGTGTATGTGGGGTGTGAGCTGCGCTACATTTGGCGTAAAACATTTTTTTTGATTCGACCAGTATACTTACTGGAGTATTCACTTCGACTTTGGGGGTTTGAGGTGGGGAAGTTGCCATACTGGGGTTGTGAGGCCGCCTTCCGGCGCTAACATCAAACACTACCAGATGAAGTTTTATGAAAGTACACGTCATGCAGTTAGGCGGCTCGCGGTTTGCACATGGTCTGCTAGAATGACCAGTAGCTACCGATCATTTGGCATAGCCAGGCTCAAGTCACTCTCATCGCTGCTATGAATAATACTCGGGTGGCAACTGAAATCCGACCCCTTGAGCGGCGCGTTCACATTCCAGTGGTAGCGGTGTCGTAGTGTTAAAATCCCGTGTTGGGTCTTTGCGATGTTAGCGCACCGCTCAGGGTCGGATTTCAGTTGCCAGCACAGTACGATGCAACTGACACAACAGCCAGTAGTCAGAGTGGGAAAACATTCACAATACAATGACAGTGGAAAATTCAGAACTCGGTATACGTGTACACAATGTGACCGTGTCAGTGGCAATTAATTTAACTGGGGTCTGCCGATTGTCATTGCAAGATAGGGACGGGAACGGACACGCGCAGCCTTCCGCCAATTTTGCTTGACCATCTGATAATTAGGGCAAGTTCTGCACTGCCAGTGCGTGTGTACGTCATCTCATGAACCTTGCCACAACCTAGTCGTTCAACTCCTGATTCGATTCTCAACCCGCTGGTCCATAGCCTAGGCCCAATCTATTGGTTATAGGTCAGCGCAGGAGTTCCCGATCCTATCCGACTTTCTTACATCAGTCACCGTCACCGTCACCACCACCACCACCACTGCATACATCGGCATGCGCGTGTACGAGTTTAGCACCTCGCCTCGACCGCCACAGGCTCGTTTCTGCTAGCACAATTCACCGTGCAACAGTGTGGCGGGGAAATCGACCGGTAGGTGTGTGCAGGCTGCACTACACCGAGGTGAACAACTTGCAGCTTAGCTTCTACTAGTGGAGAGCCAGCTCATCTTGCGTTCTTAGAAGCTAGAAGACTGCGAAGTGAGTGTAGCCTGCACCGTTCATCTGTTCATCTGTCTCACTAGTACTGGTAGTCTTTACTGTCCAAGCAAGGCTTCTTGAAAATGAAGTTCGTTCGCTGTCATCCTTTCCACAAAGTGCATCAGGCCAGGTTCTGAATGAGAAAAGCTGCTCACAGACTGCCGGCGCTATCTCTGCGCTGGGTAGTGTGTTACTAGATTTCGCCGTGAGCAGTGCATGGATATTGTGCGCGTGTGATAGAAACTCGAATCCTGTTGTCCAGCGGCTCAAGCACTCACCACTACCTACCAGATAACCACCACGAATGATTCTAAGGTGAGCCAAGATTCGTGACCGAATACCTGCGCTTATTCTCTAATACCCATAGGAGTTATGCGCTGGGAAACGTTTTTACACTCTATATGTTCGTTGCCGCACAAAACTATTAAAATATCCTTTCTACACAAATTCATATTGGCGGGAAATTTCGAAATTCTGAGTTTGCTGTTAATTATCGGAAAATAATGTAATGTTGTCGGATGACTTGGGGGGGGGGGGCGGGGGGCGGGCGGGGGGGGGGGGGGCGGGCGGGGGGGGGGGGCGGGGGGGGGCGGGCGGGGGGGGGGCGGGCGGGGGGGGGCGCGTCGGCATCGCTTGAATGTTCGTTCAGAAACACACAAACTAGCCTTCGCATCCGCAGGCCACCACTATGCCCGTTAACCTTAGTGGCGAATGCAGACCTCACAAGTGAGTCAGGGGAGAGAAGTTTAGTCTCTCAACCAATCGGGCGTGTAACGGCCCATAACCCTGTGAACTGCATCCTTGTTATTCTCACTCCGAGCTGTGAGTACCCAGTTGACCGTGATACTGTAACTGTTAATAAAAGTGGGATTGTCACCAGAAGAGTTCTTTGTCTTTTGGATCTTGCTCGCGATGGTGTACTTCGCTTTTCCCTGCGATGACTGGAAGTGGGTGGAAACTTGAAAAGAAGTGGCCCAAAATTGTGCCAAAGTACCAAGTGAGGTCTCGCCGGACTTGACCTCAACGCGTACGTACTAAATCATTCCTTCATTCCAAACGATGTCAAGGCTGTGTGCAGGTCGATCAAGCTAGCTGTTCGATGAAAAGTGTACATGTATGCTGCACGTGTGCCTTCTGAACGCGGACACAGATATACATGTAGATGGGCACGTCGTACTGAAGAAGAATGCCAAAGACGCAGAGACCCGCGCACAGCTACACAGTCAAAAAAAAAAAAATAATAATAAACAGCAGCTGAGTTTTCACCTTTTTGACTTCTTTCGCAAGGATCTTAGTTTAATTTTGTGAGCACTAAAGTAGGTCGTCGCCGTTTGAAGAAGAACACGATGATGAGTGCGTGTGCAGAAAACAGCACCACTCCGGCCAGCGATTACACCACCTACCCGAGCCCTAAGGGAACGCAATGTAGCTATGTGAACAGAAGGCAATTCATCTGATGACGGTACTGGTCGAAAACATCAGATGCCAGGTGTTATGTGAACATTTTCCGGACTATTTAACCGACATCATGAGGTCTAGCATGTGGTTTGAAACGGCATGGTTACCTCACGGAAACTTTATATTATTTGTTTGCATTGCGCAGAGCTCACTGACTTGTCAGTTTGAGCACTCTGGCAAGGTACGTTCGGTGCCTGATTTAAATCTGGCTTTGGAAATTTTATTTTCATTGCTATCAGGTTCGGCCTCATTTCCTCTGTGCTACGCTGATGAGTTCACAACGAACGAAACAGCATGCTGTCCGCAGATTGAGTATTATTTGTTTACATAATGTTGCCGAGAGGTAACCGTGTGGTAACAAACCACATGCTAGACCTCATGATCTCGCATAAATAGTTCGGAAAATGCTCACATAACACCTGGCATCTCATGTTTTTGATCTCCTAAACGAGAACAGACAAAAGTAGTGTTGTGTGCATGGAAATCCAGTCGGCGGTCTAGCGGCCCCAGGACACTGGCCATGCAGCCGTCAGTGCACATGCATTAGTATAATAGCTACAAGTATGAACGACATCACGTCACTGCAGGTCTGTGGTGGGTTCAGTTTGACGCTTCATCGCATGCAACGTTCTTTAGACACTGAGATCGCCAGCTCCAATCATTCGACTGGATTTCCTTGTCCACGGCAGTAGAAAGGAAAGCGACACATGGATACAGGTTGATAGTACCTGTCCATGACCTGTCCTCAGCTGTAACTAGATTTTACAATACTAGATACTGGTTCATACAGTTAGAAAGTACAACAACTAAGCATACAACTGACATAGTACTGAGACATTCGATGACCTGACACATTGCTCCAACACATCTACGGAGCGATAACCAACAGCCTTCCGACTCCGAAGATTCTAGGTTAATTAAGGAATGACGAAAGAGGGGAAGGTAAGTACAACAAAAATAAACACAAATCAAGTCACATCGGAAAACAGAATGTCGATTGCTACTGGAAGATAACGTGACTAAAAGACACTTGACAAAGCGGTCTAACAATAATTCGAAGCAGCAAAGCAGCACACCACATAACTTGGGCAGTTCAGAGATATCGACGATAGGTACAGAAGGGCAACTTACCTTCCCCTCTTTGGTCATTCCTTAACTTAACGTAGAACCGTCCGAGTTGGAAGCCTGTTTGTGAGTGCTCCCGAGATGTGCTAGAGCTACTTGTCAGGTCGTCGAATGTCTCAGTACTCTGTCAGTTTGTGCCTACACGTGTATTTGGAGCACTTTCTGTCTAATTATAGTATGTATTTACAGTGGTGGACAGTTACTCTTAACTCGCAACCATGTCCCTTTCCTTTCTACATTGATTAATGGCTCAACACACAAATGTCTAAGACCAGACAAATTTCATATTTTTCTGTTCAGGTCCTGAATATTCACAATGGCAGCTGCGGAAAAATCAACTGTATTTTCCAATGAACCAGCCGTGCAGTGCGAAATCAAGACAAAAGAGCCCGATTCTGATCTGGCCGAGCGGATACAGGCCATATCATGCTCGGACGACCGAGGAACTCAGGACATCTCTGCGAATCGCAACGTGGTGCAAGACATGAGCGCAGTTGATCAAGCCGGCAATGCTGCCGTTAATGACGCTGAAAGTGGTGATCTGTCGGCAGAGATGCATTTCAATTTGGCAGCAGACGACCCAGAGGAAAACACGCCAGAGGCATACCCAACATCTGCTCCAGTTATGAATGACGATAGTACGGCTGAGAAACCAACCAAACGCCAGTCAGCCTGGAACACATTTCCATCGCTCAGCCGTACCAGAGAAAGTGAGACTGAATGCGGAGCGGATGCACAGCGTAATCACAGTTCATGCTGTTCTGTTCGTTCCACGTACTGGCCACTGGTGCTACTGGCTACCTTGCTGTGTCCACTGATGGCATTACCGGCCATATACTTCTTGTACAAGGTAAGTGCTCCGACTCCCTTTCTGACGACCCTCAGGTATTTTATTTCCTGTTCGACCCTGTTTAGCACACTGTACAGGCAACAAACTAGAAGAAATAGAAAACAAAACAAAACAAACAAGTCTGAACAGTGATACACTCATCCCCATTCAAAGTAGTGGCCAGACAATGCAACAATTCAGTCCAGCCATTGTCCTATATCAGCACAGCTTTGTAAAAAAAAGGAGAAAGACAAAATGTTACGAGTTATGACTAACTGTCCACCAACGTAACCAGATCATACACAGTCAGCGAGTGCGACAAGTGCGATAAGCTTTGTGAAAATTGTTACAACTTTGGCTCCCCAATTATGGGCTTTAACCAACTGTAGGTACATATTATACCTACTAAAAGAGCTGCGAGAAGAACTAGGACTATAACAAAAAAATGTGGAGGTGGACATTTGGATGTTGGATTGAATGATGTTGGCCTGAGAAGCCTGGGATACAACGTTTGTTCGCGACATACACAATTTCATGCACTCCGTATTGAATTTGGCTCTGTAAATCTCTGGCGCCATTTTGGTCATCCAAAGATGCCGTGAAGCACAAAGAAATTTGCAGGATGAAATATCGCGGGAAGTATTGCACGTATCAGTAACTACTCCTACCATGCCACAGTATAGGTGAATATCGCTGCGCAATTTGCATGTGGATGTTTTCCAGGAGCATGCATGTCAACACCCAAGATATTTTGTTCCCGAGCGCCTCATTTTCGAACATATATGCCACGCGTATCATCTTCCTTTCTTTTGAGGTGTTCAACTCACACTTTAACCTAGTTGCTTTTAGAAACATTTTCTCTAAGCTGCGCTGGTGAGTCCACAATGGACGAAACAGTCCTGTCCGCAGATTGAGTATGCGAAGAGCTTATAATGCTGACCTAAGGGAACGCATGGTATGTTCATAGTTCCGAATGCAGACAAAAAGCATTGTGAGTGAACCGTCCTCGAAACCTTGAATATCATCCACGAAGAGTTTTGGAACTAGCAGTAAGCAATTACCGCTCATGTGTGAATCTTCAGCAATATGCACAACGGTTTTTGCTAATCTACGCCCTTGAAACCCTGACACTATCCAGACAAGTACGTTGATCTTTTAAACTGTGGAGCGATGTACCCTGAATGGCTATTATTATTACTGCATAGTCAAAGGGCATACTGCATGTGATCATTGTGCTGGGTTTGAAAATTCACATCACGAAACGCCAACCTGTGGCCAGTGCGGAATATCTCTCAATTCCCCCCAATGCTGTATTGTACCTACATATCTTGTGTTCCATTCCAGACGTACAAGAATATAGAAAATGGCCGATACGACGATGCAGCGTGGTCCGGACTAGTTACTCGCTTTGCAGCCGTGTTTGCACTGGCGTTGGAGCTCATCCTCTGGGCTATCATCATTGCAGTGTTAGTAGGGACTCACGCATAGCACTGCTGTAATCTGGAGTGGGAATAGCCATGCACTTGTTGCCTGGCATGGGGATTGCGTTTGGCTTGAAGTCCTCCACACTGCATATCATGTGACTGTGTGTGCGCTCTTTCTCCGGCATGAATCACGTGCGAACCTGTGGCGATAGGGAGGAAATGGGAGAGAGACAGAGTTGAGAGAGAGAGAGACAGAGACAGAGAGAGAGAGAGACAGAGAGAGAGAGACAGAGAGAGAGAGAGAGAGAGAGAGAGAGGGAGAGAGAGAGAGAGAGAGAGAGAGAGAGAGAGAGAGAGAGGAAAGAGAAGGAGGCAGAGCTAAGACAGAGAAAAAAATGAGTTTCTTGTTGGCTAATGCTCAGAACACATATCAACGAAACACTGACACGTACATGCACAATAATCTGATCAGATGACGTTGCACATCAAGAGTTATCCCTGAATGATTACCTGCCGTCGATTGTGGAAACAGCGGAGATTGGGATGTTCACACACAGGGTCTTCAACTTTCAGTTTGTGTTAGACCGAAAAGGTGCGAATGCAGCAATGCATTCATTTCGTGTCCCAGAGCCTGAGAATATAATTACGGCATGCATGCGGCTGTTTTTTTGAATTTCGTGATTTCATGATCGTATTGGCTGAGGCAAGCCTTTGAAACCTTAAACCGCCATATTCTAATTGTACTTGCCATATAATAATATATTCCCCTGATATAACCTTTTATGAATTTGATAAAGTCACCCATGCCTGAATTAAATAGAATAATCATCCTGGCCTGACGTTAATCTACATGCACATTGCCATCAGGCACAATAATGAATTTACAATAACCCGCTAATATGTGCATGTACATGGTTCTAATCTGAGCATGTTCTGGGACATTATAATTACAGATAATCTCATTGTGAATTTGAAGTTTCATATTTTAAAAATCTCTTCAGTCCAACTGACTTCTCATGTACAAAACTGGGAGTAATGGAAAAGATGTCAATGAAAAAAGCCAATTGTGCAGTAAGAACTACGTAAAAAATGCTAGTTTACAAAACGTTTTTATGAGACAATTATCAATGGGAATTTGTATTCTGGATGGCGGAAGGAATTGCCACTGATAAATTGCCACTCATGCATTGCCACGGATGAATTGCGAATAATGAATTGCCACTGATGAATTGTCAATGATAAAGTTCACTTGAAAACATTTGGAAACAAGTAGAGTATCAAACTCGCGTGGAACAATTTTTTAGGCCATCACTGATGAGGTACTAGTCAAAAGAGAGTACTTTACAAGAGCGCGCACTATTTTTCAATGCTGGTACATTAACATGTACGTTACCAAGTATAATAGCAAAGAAGGCAGAGAAAAGAGCCTAAAGTTGACTGTGAACTATTACGACCCAACAGGAATGGCAACAATAACTGCGATTTTGATCCTGAAGCCACCAGTGCAGTGACATGGACACGATATATATACACTGCACGATCAGGTCCTCACCAGAGATACATCATCGTTCTTTGCAACTCTGAGTTTCATGAAATGAATCAATCATCAGGCAATAGAAACAAACTGATACAGGGCAACTAGATCACTACAGGTTATATACCCAGTCACACAGCAAGCGCGAAAGAAGGCACTAAGTTAGGGGTGAGAATATTCCGTGCTAAAAAAAAAAAAAAAAAAAAAAAAAAAAGCAGGCTTCAGGTGGCAATGTTTAGGGCTCTGTACTTGTACTGTGTGCATGTGTTGGATATGGTGTTGGGTATGTTGTGTGAATTGGCAGAGTGTGCAGGCTGTTCACGCATGCTCATACGTAGGCAGGGCGTTGCATTTGGCGTATTGGTCATTCTAGGTGACTCCTTGGAAGTTCACGAGTCGGAACTTGTTTGCGTGCCTGCACTTTGCGACGACTTCGCTCCTCTTGTTCAGTGCCAGGGTCTTATCAGCAATTAGGATTCTGGCCTTTTCGGTTGTGCAGAGTTTGCATTTTTTTGTTGCAGGGTTGTAGGAGCTGGTCCTGTCTTTTATCTGCCAGGTAAGGTGGTACTCTTCCTTGTTTTCCTTCTTCTGCCACAGGTGTTCCGACAGTGCGGTCTTTTTTCGGTGTTTCTCGTGTCGGAAAGACATAGTGTGATTGTTGTACCGGAGCTTGAATGTTGTGTCTGCCGAGCCGATGTACACCTTTTGTTCCTCCTGGCAGGCTACGGTGGCTTCATAGACGATTTGTGTGGCTTGGCAGTGGCCATCCAGCGGACATTCCGTTTTTTTTCCTGCAGTTACATGGTTTTTCTGGGCTTTTTCCGTGAGATGTTGTTTGTTGTGGCTGCTGATTTTGGCTGCGACGTTGGGGAGGCAGGAGTAGCTAACTTTGACGTTGTTGTGATTGAATATCTTTTTTTGCTAGCTGTTTCTGAAATGCCGGTCAATGAGCCTCAGGAATCCGGCGGCGACGTTCGTTTTCACGTTTCGGCTGACGAGTTCACAAAGAACGAAACAGCATGCTGTCCGCAGATTGAGTATATATATATATATATATATATATATGGCATGCTGTCCGCAGATTGAGTATATATATATATATATATATTGACTGGTTTGAGGGAAAGAGACAAACGGGAAAAGTCTGAAGAAAAAATTGACTGTCACCACCAGGACTCGAACCAGGGACCCTCGCTTGCTATATATATATACAGTGGTCCCTCTATAATCCGGCACCATTTGTGCCACGAAAATCTGCTGGATTAGGGAGGGTGCTGGATTAACACATCTGATTTACTGCTGCAATGTGCATGAAGAGCACATTTTGGCTACTGAAAATCGTGCTGGTTTATCGAGGGTGCTGGATTATAAAGTGCCGGATTAGAGAGGGACGACTGTATATTGTTTTTAACACCGATCTTGCCCATGCGCTTGGTAACAAGTTGGGGTGGGGGGGGGGGGGTCTGTTTAAGAGAAGGCTTTTTTTTACTGGCTTTTAGAGACTGGTGCACTATTCGAGATAGGGCACTACTCAAGAGAGGGATGTAATCCCGCGAGAACAGTATAATATTATATTAACTGGTTTTGAGGGAAAGAGACATAATATTAGTTTTTCACATTGTTAGGACTTTTTACTTTTATTGTCCCCTCGACTATTGTAATGGATGAAAGCCTTTTCATCTCTGGGTTCCTGGTGTGTAAAAATTTGAATACATAGGTTGTAGTAGAAAATGCATCTGGTGTGCTGGAGTATCACAGATTCCGAGCACGGTGGTGCACTATAATCCCATTGTTGCGTGTATATACAGTGTATTTCAGTCTACGGTTAATGCTCAGTTCGCGAATTACAAGGAAACATTTGGATAGTATTGGCAATGCCAGTAAAATAATGACAATGAGGCCTTCATTAATTGTGTATACATGTATGGCCGAAACTGCTTGTTGGCTACAGCATTGGGTAAATCATGATATACATGTACATGCAATTATTCATCTGCGCACAGAACTATTTCGTCTCTTCGAGCGAAGCTCAGAGAAAATAGAGCCAAATCTGGTAGCAACGAAACAAAATTATTATACTTCATCTCAGGACAGCATGATGTTTTAACCTTACTAGGTTTCCTCAGCTACAGCTCAGGCACTGGCCAAACTGATCTCCATGGTGTCTTTTGATCACGAAAGCTTGTTTTAAACGGATCCGAAGCGCTCATGCCTGAGAGCTCAAACTGTTATAAACACGGTGAGCTTTGTACCAGGGCAGACAACTTTTAAAACGCTAACCAGAAAGTAGTGCTCAACCAAGCGCAGTACAAAAAAATTAGTACATATTTGGTACGTGGAGGTGGGAATGCTGAAATGTTAGCGATCTTGTATTTTCCTACGGTTTTGGGTGTCAGTTCCATGGCTATCCTTTTGACGGGTCATTGCGCTGTTTATGCCGATTATGCCCTCAGGACACAAGTACTTCAAGTACTCCGAACACGTCCCCATGTAAAGCCATGGGGAAAGTCCCCTCGAGTCATGGTAATAATTATCTATCTACTTGAAGTAAAATAATGTGCCTTCAGAGTCTCCAGATTGCGCAAGCAGCAAGCCACAGACTATTCCTGTGTAATAGGGTGATTTTTGTCATTGGAAATGAGTGTGCGCACGCGGTTTCAAAATAAATTGTAGTGTGGAGTGTTTTGAAAATAATATGAATGGCTAAAATCTGTCCCGGCTAGAATTATGGCTATCGAAAATATTTGTGCATGGCACGGAAGCAAGAAATACGGAAAATATTAAAAGAAAGCTGCTTGACGAATTGTGATAATCGGGTATTTCGGAACAACGTGCAGCTGCATTGACTGCCTCACAATGCAGAAGAAATAAATTCAATATTCTCCAGAGTCTCGGACAAAGCTTGACGAGGACATTCTGACAAAATACAAAAAGAATTGCAGATTTCCCTAAGCCCAGGGGAACAACACACCAACGGCGAAAATATTTGGCTGTTGAGATATTCACTATCCACTCAAGCATATTGTGAATCAAACAATCTGGATGCGAAATGTAAATTTCAAGTAGCCGTCGCTATGGTAGCGCAAGGCTAGTAGCCGTCGCAATGGTAACGCAAGGCTATACTGTATTTGCGATATCTCTGTGTCTAGTCGTTGAGCTGATTTGCTCACTCTGGTGCAGAGCCTCAAGGCAATGGGCGGAGCGGTATTATCCTCACTCACTCCGTGGTCGTAGGCGTTCGATATGACGTCACCTGCTGCATGATCTCAGTGGAGAACTGGTAAATGAGACGGCGCTGCAGCTTCTCCAAGATACGTCTCCGGTAGTAATATCTGTAGGCACGAAACCGTAATCCACATAGGAGAACATGTCGGTTATATTGGTGTTTAATGCATTGAATTATGCTGACAGATTTCGTGAGTGTATCACTGTAACATTCGTTTGAAAATGGCATTCGTTTGAAGAGGAATAGTATAACACAAACCATGGCTAATCTGACTCATTCGGATCGTATCTCCCAGACTACAACCAAAACTTTAATATTTGTAGTATACACTACGTCAAGTCACCTGAGAACCCCGAAATGTCAACATACAATGAAGGTCAATGGTGGATGGTACACTACCCTTCCAATCACTGCTCTGTCGGACACGTATGGATCAAGCATGAATGTGGATATTATCTCTCAGCGTAAGAAATTTTTTGAACTGTTAAAGTTCACCATCAAGTATCAACACTATAACTCCAATGTTGTGTTGGCCCCCATTTTCACAAGGGCAAACGAATTTGGCAAAGAAGCTCACCTCAAAGCACGCGTCATTTTCTCGTAATCCATGGCGGGAACGGACCTGTAGTCTCCCCACATCTTAGCAATCTTCTCCGAGTTGACAATGCGGAACTTTCCCGACCGATCGTCGATCCACGCAATGGCGTCCTGAGCTGTGCCACGCTCTAGATGATGCAGTAGGAATTCCCACAACTGCAGGGATGCCGGTGGTACCTGACCTGTAGTGTAAATGAAGAGAGAAAGGAACAAAACAGCCGTTTAGATCAGTACAATGTGCAGCAACAGTCAAATATGGAGTACATATCCTTCCTCCATCATCGCCCAGTTTATTAGTGCCACATAGGCAGGTACCATTAATAGACCTACACACTGGATACCTATACTCTGGATGCCTACACTACTGACCTGACCTACACACTGGATACGGTACAGCAACGCAGAGGCAGTGGTTAGCACTGTGGAATAATTCGGCACACAGCTGAATCTTTTTCGATGGGAAATATTCCGTATGCGGAGCATAATGAAAATGGATTGAAGAGTGCAAACGATTTTATGTCAGCCTATTTCTGGTCACGCTATGAGTGTGGAGGTAAAGCACAGATGCAGGAAGTATCCACAGCAAGATCCCTTTAGTTAAGGTAGCTGTAGGTGACATACATACCTGTGTATTGCTTGCTGACGATCTGTCTGCGGAGAATGGCGTGTTTGATCGCGTTCCGCCTCGGCTTCGTGCGACTGGCTCTGCTTGGTTTCTTTGTGCGCCCATCACACGGTGAGGACGGAAACAGGACAGCCAGCGAGTCGCGATCAGAATCCTGGCCACCATCACTGCTGGAGTGACTTTCAACTGGGCTGCCCCAGTCTTCGGAGTGAATGGTTGGCATGCTGGAAGACATCGCCAGTCCAGGTAGAGATCGCATGCTCGCACAAGCTTGGTATACGGCCTGATCACCGCCTCTCAGTGACATGGTTCCAAGGGCTGAATATGGTGGCATGAATTGCTGCGCCCGGGCATAAGATGCTCCCCTGTTCGACATAATGGTGGGGCTGGGAAAGCCAGAGCCGAATACTGAGTCATCCAGATGTCCCGGAGACATATCCGTGGGACTGAAGACATCACCCAGGTGCTCCGGCAGTGAATCATATGGACGCCGCTGCAGACTGTAGAGGGGCTGGGTGGCAGGCTGTTGTAGTGACTGTAGGCGACGTTGGTGCTGCTGCTGTTGCATCAGCTGCTGCTGCTGTTGTTGGATGAAATTCTTGGTGCTCCTGTGGCTGTCCGTCAGACTCGGGAATGGTGCCCAGGCATTGGCTACAGCCGGGTGCGGTGGCATATTATGCTTGCGACTAATACTGTGGTGCTGCATACCGGGCTGCATACCGGGCTGCATACCGGGCTGCATACCAGGCAGGGAATGGGCCCGGGATAGCTCTGGAGAAGATAGAGGCGTAAGAATCGTGTCATGCTGAGGCTCGTGATGGCTGGTAGCGGAAGAAAGAATGGAGGAAAGGTCGCCAGATGTGCTTGCCGCCGACACGGCTGTTGTGAATGCAGTAGGCAGGGATACAGTGTCCAGGCGTTGCCTCGCGCGGTCAGCTCCCACTTCGAGCGCCATGGTTGTTTGCGTCATTGTCATTATGGATGACATCATGTCGGACGTAGGAGCCGTAGTGGCCGCGGTAGACAATTCCTTCTCCAGCTCTCCGTACACTTCGTTCACTGAGCTGTACCCCACTGTCTTGATTACTGTGCAGCACAGGAGAATGGAAGAAGACAGACAAGACAAAAGGAAATAAGAGAGAGAGAGAATGTAATTTAAAACATACTGCGCCACGATCCCCTACCGTGACGGTAAAGTACAGAGTGGCTTCACATCTCTCTGTTTGGATGTGTTGAGATCAAAAAGGCACATAATACATTGCACATGACAGAAAGAACCAACCTCTGAAAGATTTTTAAAGCAGCAATTTTATTGGAGTTGGAACCTACATGGCTGTCCTATATTATGGTCATGCGGCAGATGCGAACCAGCCATACATGAAATGCATCCAATGCCATTTGCAGACAATCAGAATGATAATCTCAGTTGTCTTCCATTCCTTGGATTCTCTTATCACCTGCTTGCGTGATGTTTATATGCACACACTATACTCATTCGCTCTCATGTACATTCGCTTTCATGTACATTCGCTCTCATGTACATTCGCTCTCATGTACATTCGCTCTCATGTACATGTACATGTACATGTGGTTGGGCTTGCTGCCCGTTTGATTCCGCCAATTCAAATAAAACAACACCACCAACAACAACTTACGATCTGCGAATTCTTGCTCGCTGGTATTAAAGACGTCCTGCGCCCTGCTCGTTGATGCAGTCACGTGCAGCGATGCGTCGTCAAGGTTGCTAGTACCAGAGCAGGACGACTGAGGCGATGGACAGGTGTTCGTGGCTGGTCCCGGTAGAGTCACCTGACTCTTGCTGAGAGATTGAGTGGGTGGCGGCGTTGCCATGCCGACGGCGACAGATGGCAGAGACTGACTGGACTGGGGAATGAAGGGACCTGCGAGACAGGTTGAGACATATAGGCAAGTAGTTGTGAATTATTTTTTAGGGAAAGGGAAGCGATATTTAGCGATACGTAGCAAGCTACACAGCAAAACACAGCTAGGAGATTTCCTTTTCCTCTGACACATCGTTACCAAAGCATGGGAGCATTGAGACCGTGAGGCGCCTCGTCCTCTCGCCTCACATCCATAGTCCTCACAGCCAAGGTGTACATTGTGTGAATTGCCTAATAAAGTCATCAGTTAAAAATGCCATGGCTGGCTATCGCCCACATCACCTTTTCATTGGTGACACGTGATTGTGAATAAATAAATAAATAGAAAGGGCAACTGCCGCTAGATTCGTGTTCTTACTGTCAACAGCTGCAGCATCCAGGTCTGAGCCCATTCGTGACTGAAGGTACGTGGCTGCACAGGTAGGCATTGGAACACGTACAACTGGTGGAGATATGCTACTGGGCATCCTGGGAGTTAGTGAGCCACTCCAAACACTGCTATCCGCTCTTAGTCGGGAACTGCAGGAACAGATCAAACCATGGGAAGAAAAGAACGCACACCAACTATCAAAACCTGGATACAGGCCAAAGGATGAAAGCAGCCGCTCCAAAGGTTGGAGTTTGTGCTTCATGCTGAACGATTAGACAATTTAATGACTCACACATTCCATCTGGAGCGCATAAACGGTACGTCGAATCGTCAACTTCTTTTCACAAGATACCGCCAGTGTCGAAGCACCTTGTTTCGTATTGTCAAATGATGTGAAAATAAGGTTCGTTATACCGTGTTAACACCCTTCAATGCACGCATCACACGCATACATATGCGCTATGTTCCAACCAGGAAGATATTGGGTAGAAGCTAAAAGGCGCCATTGCTAATAAAATGTATCATTCATCATTTCTTTTCCCTTTTCCATTCCATCAACGGATGAATATACATGTACATGTATGAAACATTCACTTCTTCTTTTATTGTGACTGTCCGTGATGCAGGTTTAGGTTAAAATCAGACTGTCTGCATTGGCCTAGTTGGGATGAGCAACTTCGGGGCTTCGGTAACATATATGCGTATAATTATTGTGATGGTGATCAGGGATCAGGGACATTAAATATTCCCTAATGCATCCTGATCAAGAACCATTTACACGCAATTGTGCAGTGTGCAGTGTGCGTTAAGCGCCAGCTGTGGTCGCCCAGTCCCCGCGTAGACGATGACCGCTTCGCAACACGCCCCAAACACACGAAGTGTCTCTCTGTGTCCTGCGAAGAGCCCTCTTGAGTGTGTTGTACACAGAGCTCTAGATGAATGCGGTGATAACTCTCCGATCAGCTCGCTTGATGATCGGTACTCAGCCTGGAGTAAGACTGGAACAGGAGACTTAGTACGATACTTCAGGTGTCGATCATACCCGACAAAAAACGTGTTACTATTCTCTACCATTGTCATAATCAATTTAGGTTATACAACTCCGCACAGATACGCTCTCTAGCGCGAAGGTTTGTTTTGTTGTGACTACAGTCATGTCGCCCTCATCATGCTGTAGTTGAGCTTTGGATCGGTGTGATTTGATCAATGCCTTTCAACAGAACATGTTGCAGCGGGTTAACGACAAGGAAGTGATTAGCGAATATCTTAGCGCACGTGCCTCGGCCGTAAATTGAATTATTCCACTAAATGTACACGGTAATTACGCCCCTCTAAATTTGTGGAGACGAGAGAGTGTAGCCATTCAACACAAGGCAAGGTGATAACGCATGAAGAAAGATGGTCATGTGGGTCCCTGGCTCAAATTTAGAAACGAGAGCGAGTGGAGGTAAATGACTACCATCTACACCTATCGCCATCGTCATGACCGATCACCCCGGTCCACAAGCACAACATGTGTTATCGACTTTCTATGGTTATAACTTTGGATAATGCTACGGGCTGAACTTACTATAACTAGCATGCACGTCCGCCAACACAATTATCACCTCCCTCAGAATAGCGTGAAAGGGGCAACTAACTGTACATGAAATTTTAGAATTCGTGAACACCGCACGTACCTCGTAGCGTATCCTGTATCCGTGTTAGTATCTACGGAACTCTGCATAACTAGAACGCTATCCACCGTGGTATTCAGCTGGAGATTTTCTACAGCGATCTCGAGTGAATACATTTTAAAATTTACTTGTGACAGGTTGACCTAATCGTGTTCAAATTAGCATACATGTACTTCCCACAAGCCGAGAAGAGCTGAAAATACTTGAATTTGAGATTCCCGAAACAGGTGTACGCTCTTCTGTGTTTAGATTATGGGATCAATTTCGATATGGTGGAACCTTTATAGGCTGCTCCGCAGGTATCTTGCTCTGTCGGCCGAGTTTTCAGCTTCGGATCATTCTTTCCGCGTCCATGTATTGGACCAAGCACCGACTATAACACAACTGCTTTGACTGAGCACGTCTGGGACTAATGCACTGGTTGCTGTGAATGGAATAATATTCTATTATGATGATGGCCCGGATCTATTGAAGGCGATGGTGAGAAATTGGACACGTGAATAAGTCGCATCTGTCAAGAACACCTTCACCAAGCTTGCTGTGAAAACATCATAGTCGCGATGCTTCAGTCCTGCCAGTCCATATATGGGAATGTTATTAACGCCCAGAACAGCACACTTTGGCGGCATTAGTATTCTGAGAGAATGGTCACGTGAGCACTTGATAATCTGCCAAGAAACTCTGCATAACGTCCAGCTACATGTACATGTACATGTACGTGTACGTGGCGCAGCCCCAGACTATTCCTATAAGGAGGGGGTTTCCAATGTCCATCCTACAGCATATCGAAGATACTCGCAATGCATAATATGGTAACTACTGCGAGGCCTTGAATCCAGTGATTTGTCTATGAAGAGTAGCTCGAACCGTCCGCCTCTGTTTGTACTGCTGAATACAATCGAGACTGCTCCGAATTGCTCACAGGTGTCCTAAACGAATTTCAGGTTGTGAGGTGTGATGTTATCAGAAACAACAGTCTAGGCTAAATGCAGACCGGATCGTAGCAAACAATGTCAGAACGTCGATATACACAGTCTCACACTAAGGGCTGTGAAGACGAAGCTGCCCAGGGCGTACACACAACAAGTCACTTGTTTTTGGCATCGCGTAGGCTCTTCAGAACTTCATCACAAACTCCTGTGGCAGTACTGATTTCAGCCAAACATTGTTATAATCATACACACAACGCATAGCATACACATACACAATCTTCCCCATTTCTGGAGCAATGCTACTCGTAATTACAGCAGGCCTTGATATATCCAGATGCTGAGCGAAAGTCGAAGTGTTTTCTCCATACATGCCGATACGAATTCAAGTACTTTCTCATCATCGATGCTGAATCTTCATCCCGGGTATTTGCGTACACAATACACACACATTTCACAACCTTGAAATGTGATTTTCTGTTAGGATCTCGTCTAGGTTGTTCACAACGCTACGGGTACTAGGAAGCGCTGGAGAAATACGAACTGAACCTATCATGCTAAGCACACCATAAATCACAGTCAGTTCCCTTACTTTGAGGCGTGTCTGGCGTTCAGTCTGACCGACGTCCTTGTGATAAGGGAAGTTCCTTTTTCCGTAGTCTTGCTGGTGTTGCCGCCCAAGTAAACTGCGCTACACCAATTTCTAGCTAGGTCAGTAGTATATCTTGTTGCAAGTGGTAAGACCTTGGATATTGGAAGATGCAGTTGATAAATCGTTATTACATATCCAGCTACCAGTAGCCGGCTATCAGGGACTAAGGATATTGTCTACAATTTTACACGGGTGCCGAATATCCCTACCACGATAAAGTTCTACATGACGTTTCTCCTTCGCCAACTAAAGATCAAGTGAAGATAAGTTATCTTCCAATGGAACATTTATAGGTGATGCCGCCTGGAGAAAGGGTGAGAAAGCAGATCTTCATGAGACCTCTAAGGATCGTCGGCTACAAGCGTGTCCATTTCACGTTAGAATCAGCTTGCTGTGTTACACTCAGCGTGAGATATAGTACTACCCAACAATATTATACCCACGTATTTCCTCGTTCGTAACTTGAATTGATTGCAGAGATGGTACGAAATCCTAACTCCACGATAGCCCTTAGAGTTAAGGAGCGTTCTAGTTGACCATTTCTCGCTGGCATGTGACTATTGCCTCAAGATTTCCCTTGTCGCGTATCCAAAGCTGGGATATCTCGCGGGATCCGATGGGAAAGGTGTGGAATGGATGCGCAATTGTCATCCAGGAAAAAGTGTCGAACGTCTGAAGGAGCACAATTTGTCTTGTGAGTGGGTCACTCAGGTCCTGTCTTCTTTTACGTGGAGTAACAGACTTCTATCTCGTGTGGCACATTCCACGCATTTCCCGTAGTACTGCTTTCAATAGGATACAAAGGCTTCGCTGCCACATGAAATAGATTATTTCTCTGTTCTCCGAGATGAAGACAGGAGTTCATGCCGTTTATACTCGCATGAATGTCGCAAACGACTGTCCTACAGCATGGGCACTTCACCAGGCACGTTTCAAGATACGTTCTTCACATCTGTATCGAGATTACCAAGCTATAGGACCTTCTTTTATACGGCTTCCGAGTTTCCGTTGCAGGTACGTAAAAGATAGTAGCGATATTCGCTTTAGACTTTTAGAACTTTAGACTAAGCCGGATGGACCCCGATGCCACTATAATTCAACAGCGATTGATGTTCGTTAACATTTTAGTTTCAGCGACATGGACGTTTACTGGTTTGATGATGTTGTTGCTCGACTACAGCTCAGTCTTTGAATCTCGTCAGATGCCTTCCGCGCATCTATATCACTATACGAGGATTGGATTGAGCACGCTGGTTCATTGTTTGAACTGATATTGATCCGGTCTCTAAGCATCGTTCGGGAGTTCTCGCGAAGGATTCGAATTTTAGCTCGCCATGCTACAACTGTCACGTGCGCGGCTTAAACCTGCGCAGCCTGCGCTATTGTCACTACACATTAGCAAGATCTGCCGGTAGTTCCTAGAATAATGGCTTTGTGTTCAAGAAATGAAGAAAGCGAAACACACACGCACATAAGCAACATGGACGAAGCGACAGTTCGCGAAATTTATGTTAGAAAACAGTTTGAAACACGATTCCCTCCCTCTCTTCGGAAAGGTTGTTGGTACAATGACATCGAAGCGAATGACTATAACCTTACCTTTTCGGAATGATAAACGAGATCTCACGTCGATAAGAGAAAACTTGAAAATGCAATCTTTCCGCGGCAGGAAGTGGATTCGGCGATCACTGAAGGAAGAACTGCTTCTTGGCCAAGGGTCAATGGTTGAAAAAGGGCCACGAATCCTCGCCATCCTCAATGTGAGCAGGGACAATCGCGCCACATTCTCGCCTGTCATCTGTTGACAGGTCTGCAGGAGTTCGTACGGACGTCCCTGGCTACCCTAGGACACCATAACATGCTGTCAGGCCGTCATCATCTGCTGGACACTGATCAATGGGACTGTCCGCTCTTGATCCACACTACACACGTTTGTTTCAAGATCTTACGCTCTTTCGTTCTGGAGTACGTTGGCCGTGCACATAATAGATCTTCCGAACAAGCCGCTTGGTATGGCAACAGATGCCCCATTTCGACCAGTGTGTTGCTCGTTGTAGCGAGGGAACTGTGTGAAAATGACGCCATATGTTGGGCTCGATCCATGTGCTAAGGGCATATACCGTAATAAGTACGGTCATGTATGTTGGGAAGGTCACACTAGGCCGGTAGCAACAGTTCTCGGTGTCACAGAGGACTGAGGGATTTCCCCGTACCATCACTAATGCAACGACTATGCATTTAGTTGGCAGTCTATTATTATTGATTGTCTTTCGTGTGGCTGCAAGATCTGACATGACTACATACCTGGTGACATTTCGCATTGGCGACGCCCTGTTGGTACGACGGGACGCAACGCAATACATCTGCCGGTAGTTTGTTTGCCTTAGCGTTCCCATCTCTCTGGTCAAACCAGTTTCACTGCGCGCTTGCAGCGTTGCCTAGCCATGGTAGTGTTGAGTCGTTAGTCTTAGTATGACAAATTTGTTTAGCCCTTGGCTTGTGACCAATGGGCACGAACATACGGCGGTACGATAGCAGAGGTGGACAGCAGAGGTGGATAGCAGAGGTGGATAGCAGAGGTGGACAGCAGAGGTGGATACGATTGATGTCAGTTCCGATTGCATAGCAACAAGGTGGCACGTACATGTACATTTCCAACCTTGGACCTATATGTATACTGCCATGGCTCTTAGAGTCTACGTGTGCAGCATCACAGATGCAAAGTCTTTGCAAATTGGTAAATTCGCTAATGAATGGCGGGATATCTGTCGATTTGCAATGTAACTTGGCTCGTGTCATTGAATTATTGCTCGCAAGCATACAAAGATTGTTGAGGCGATACCCCTGAAACTGGCATGGAGCTGCTCCAATCGGAAAGACGTGCTAAACACACGATTTGCATGTTAACCTTGCTTCAGCCTTTGGAGAAGTTGGGGACTATCTCTCCATCCAAAGTCCTTGAGTGCTACAAGAGATTTCCCGGATATATTCGAGAGGCGAAGCGACTGGGAGTCTTTTGTTTTCCAACCTCTACTACAATGCAGCGGTTCAGATAATCGTTAAGCGTCGCCTCGTAATCCCCTCGTAGATTGGGTCTGAATCGGGAATGCATCAAGTGATCTTTAGATACAAACTGGTGCCATCACTTGGTAGTATGCACTTTAGATGCAGTTGAACACGTTCCCGACATGACCGTCCTGTTCATGGTGCGACCTGTGGCCACTAAGCAGTATGATCGCATCACACGGATATCGCGCACTAGGACCAGCAGTCGAGGTTCATTTGTGATATTCAACCAGTTACCTAGTCGGTGCTTGGACGCTGTACCGGTGAAGTATGACGCTGCTCATGGCGAGTTCAGTACCACTTCTAGGTGCACCATACCACTTTCCGAGGACCGTACACAGGTGTGTCCTCATTAATAATAGCCGGCTGTACTGGGACCAGGCCAGGCACATGTATAATTATTGTCTTTTTCAGCGACTCATCCAACATTAACCTAATGCGAACAGTGGCACCCGGCAACTTGTGATCAACACTGTGATCAGAGTGCCCAATTTCGTGATCAGCCGCTGATTAATTGAATAACCGCTAGCGACACGAGTTCTTTACTAAGATCATATTCATACTATTGTACTAGCCGACCGACGTTTCCCATCCGCGACCACTCCCGGAAAACTGCACCTCAGCGAACCTCCTCGTTTGTCACCTGTGTCCCCGATACACATACAGGGCATGTACCTGTACTTCAAGTTTAATCATTGACCTTATCAATACGCTCTCCTGTATGTTTCCCTACTTGGCACCACAAAACCACGGATCCACCTTTAATTTTAGCAACTCCTCAATGTCTTAATGATGCATTGGAATACTTTACACATCGGAGTATCCGTGAAAGCCTGGAGGAGAGCAATTTGGCTGCTATGGATCGACAGATTCGCATCAAACTGAGTAGCAAACGCATTCGTAGTGCGCATGCGACTGGCGTTGGCTTGAATGATACGGTCTGTGTTCCTCGACGGACATGTTAGGGGACATTCTTCGAAAGGTGCTTTCGGAGGATCCTAGAAATTGGAACGCCAATGGCAGTGCAAGGTGGAGTTTAGGAGGGCTACGGAAGGACCGGATACGTATGGATCTCCACGCACCACGGAATGCAGGTGTGTTTGAATTCCACTTTCAATGATGGATATCCCAATGCTTACTCACAATGTAGTCTGTTAAGTGTTCGAGTCGAATCGAAAGGAAATGGACTACTGTGTGGTAGCCTTGCACTGACACGAATCAAACACGTTTCATTTTGGGGTGAATCATCAAAATTCACTCAGCAGCATAATACATTCGTATCCTTGCTGGATAACTTCAGGGCTCACAGTCCAATACAAAAGCGTCGAGTCGCGCACGGCTTTGCGCGGATGTCACGTGATGACAACTGACCAATCACAGGCCTCTATTCTCCTCTATTCTCAAATCTTTGATCTAGTCCACTACATCGGCCCTGATGTCCACGAAGCTGGGATTCGCTATGCTGATTCAAAACCCCCAAACTCAGTGATCTACCGCAGCGTTTCACCATTTTCCCTCCAGTTTTCCGGCACGGATTAGCCAAAGTCTGGTCGTTTTGGCTTCGATTTCGGCACAGCAATCGGAAAAGTGATCGGTAAATGTCTGGAGAATTCCACGCTGAAAAAAATAAGCCATAGATGATCAAAATCCGCCAAGAATGAGATGTAGTGGACATTTTTGAGTGAGTGCCACTCAGCGCGCAGAACGCCAAAAGTGCAAAAGCAGCACCAGATCAAACAACAAGAAAAACGCATGCATGCAGCGGAACAGCAACGCGCGCGCCGTCCAACAGAAAATCATTGCGCACAGATTTTTCAGTGTTCTCTCCTCAGTTCGCCCGCGGAGTTGGTTGCTGTGCTTTCGTTCTCGCTGGAGTTCTTGTGGCAGCGCATTTCGCCATCATGGAGGAACTGGTACCTCTGGAAACCTGGCCTTCAGTGGCCCTCAACTAACGCCTGGCGGATTTGCTGGTCCCGTTCGCCTCCATCCGATCAGCAGCTCTGTGTGGTATGTTCTCGGCGTTACCTGCCTGGCGAGCTCTGACTCGTTTGTTTGTCTTCTTACCTGTGGAACATCGCGATCGCTCATTGTAGCATCAGCATTTGGTCGAACAGCGGCTACATGACATGAATTTCCTGGGACTAGCACAGGTTGCCTGTCGCCTTCTCCTTCGGTGGA